TCTTCTCTGTTCTGCTCTGTGCTCCTCTTCTGTGTTCTGCTCTGTGCTCCTCTTCTCTGTTCTGCTCTGTGCTCCTCTTCTCTGTTCTGCTCTGTCCTCCTCTTCTCTGCTGTGCTCCTTCCTTCTCCCCGATTCCCTTACGCGGTACGTTCTATTCTGGCGTCCGCTCTCTGCCCTGTGCTTCTCTCTGCTCTTCTGTGCTCTGCCTTTTTTCCTTCCTAATTTCTTCGTCACCGTGGCGTATTTGTTCTCCTTACTCCCTGCCACATCTTCTCTATGTTCCTCAGAGAGCATACTCGCACAAGCCTTTTCGACCGAATTCGGCCGTATTTGCGGTCAAATGCGTACAGGAAAGTACTTGTGTTAGTATGCACCTTTCGCTCGTTTGTTCCTCTCYCCCCCCCCCCTCCCCCCCCCTGTTTACTCTCTGTTACCTCCTCTCTCTGTGTCTCAGGTAGCAGAGCATACGTACGGTCAAACCTTTTCGCCCGAATTTAGCTGTGGCTGTATTTGCGGTCGATACTTACAGGAAAGCCCGTGTGTGAGTATGCTCTCAGGACGGAAATTCCTCCTCGGCCTGTTTGTCTTGACTTAACTGGCAGCTCCTTGATTCGTTGACCTGTTTGTGTCTGACTAAACTGGCAGCTCCTTCATTCCTTGAGCAGCTTTTCCTTCATCCCTCGGTATGATCGGGGAAGTTGTTGATAGGTTGGCTAAATGCTTGTCATGGGTGGATCCGTCACCGGACGTGACAGCCAGTATAACGACGAGTGCCACGTCAGCCACCGCATAGGAACCTGCAATTGGAAGAGATTGCTTATGTGCTTTTGATGACTATATTCGTACGTTTGTAGATTTGTACATACATACACACACACACACAGAGAGATGTGGATAGATCGATAGATCGATAGATAGATAGATAGATAGATAGATAGATAGATAGATAGATAGCGAGAGAGAGAGAGAGAGAGAGAGAGAGAGAGAGAGAGAGAGAGAGAGAGTTGGACAGATAAATAGATAGATAGATAAATAGCGAGAGAGAGAGAGAGA